AGTTTAACAAAAAAATTTGTACTTTATGTTGGCTTTTTTGGACATAATTGTTAAGAATAATAATATAGAATAATTTACAATTATTGAAGGATTGAATACTTATTTTCAATGAATATTATATGTATTACACAAAAATTTATTTTTTTTTATGGCATAGATTTAAGACTAAGTTTTGACACTATCTGACTTAAAAAAAAACAATTTTTTTATAAATATAATACTATTATAGATAACATATCTAATATATTTTATAAATAGTCAGTTTAGTTGTTTTTCGTGTGTACTCAAACTTATTATTATTCAAGTTACATTAATATGACCATATTCTTGAATTTTATGTCATTCACTACAAAAATAATAAAACTATGAATAAATACAAGAATGTACAAACAAAAGTCCTTCAAAAATATAAGTATATGCAATTAGTACTTGTTTCACTAGATTACAAAGTAGTAATTAGATGGTATTTTTACGTAGTTAGTTAAAGAACAACAATTATCATATGAAATCGTACAAGTAAAAATCAATTAATTTAAAACTAGTTTACAACTTGTAAACTCTAAATATAAATTAACATAAAGTCAAGATAAAATAATGACAATAATTACATAAATTCTTTTTTTTTTTGTTAAAAATATTAAGACAAATATTTCAATGAACTTTAAGTATCGGTCAATGGCTTATTGTAAATACTTACATATATTTTAAAAAATATTTTATGTTATAGCCTCCAATTAAACAATATAATATATGTGTGACTTAACTCTAAAATCACAAAATTGCTATTTGACTACCTAATAATGAAATATTGTCAGTTAATATAAAGTCGATCAAAAATAATTTTTTTATTTTAATATAAGTAGTTATGATAATTATAATAGTTTATATTATTCATTTTTATTTTAAGATTATCATCATCAGTAAGTTCATTATAAGTTTGGTGTTGGGTTAATCAATATTATTTAAAGGGTATTTCTGAAAATATTTGGAACTACATAATCCCAACATTTTTGATACGGCTCTATTCAAAATCGAATGACAAGATTATAGTCCTGATATTATAAATCGTAAAAAGATTATAATACTTATAATAGTTGGTCTTTAATTAATTTTAAATAATGATATTTTATCAAAATTAAATAATTTATTAGTACTATTTTTACTACACTCATTTTACTTGAAAATAAAAAATACTCGATTAAGCAAACTAGAATTCAATATTATGATAAAACGAAATTAATCAATATTAATTTGGTTCCAGGCACTAAATTGCTTAACGCGAACTTTAACCTCCTACTAAATAATGTGATCACTTATTATGAATTAGTGATAACATTTAAATAGCAAGACATTTTAAAAATAATTTTTTTTTAATAAACGCCAATATGCTCATTGAAATAGCGGTCATATTTAAGTTGTATAAAGTTAGCATAATATTTTAAAAGTGCCTTTAATATGCTAAATTTGTAATTATAATTTAAAATATAAAATGAATAATATGATAATTTCAAAAATAACTTATAAAACAATAATTATAATGTTCTAGAATATCTAAAAATTAAAAAAAATAATTTTCAATTTCAATTTTATTTTTATTTTTCATTTGATATTATTCAACATTATAAGATATGTTATATTTAATATATTGCTGAGACGTTTAAAAAAAAGCTTATAACTTAAAAAATGTAAACATTTGTAAGGACTATTTCTGATAGTCTCCTTTATTTTATTAAATAATAAAATAATCATAATTAACTAGCGAATAAACGATAACTGATCAACTAAATATAAAAGATAATATTTTAATTAATATTTATTATTTATCTATTTTTATTTATTCATAATTTTTATAAAAATAATTTTCTCCGAAAAATAAAATAAAATATTTATTTTTGGTTAAAAAAGTGTATTTGATTAGAAATATTAAATACTCAACTACCTACTATTTTTTGGATTTAATATTTAAGTAATGTAAACTCAGAAAAACAGATTGTATTTATGATGAAAAAAATTTTGAAAAGATATTCAATAATATAGCTTTTAAATTAAATTTTACAGGGATATTATGTGGCAGAAGATTTAATATTTGTTTAAAATGAATGTAACACTACTATGAAATTTTTAACGAAGTTATTATCTAAATTGTTCATATAGGCGGATGTAGCCAATAAATATTATCATGGTTTGTCAGGACTGCGTTCCACAGTATAAGTGAAAATTACCTATACATACAGTCTAAGTCGTTGTATAATAAAACTATTATTATTTAGTCTGGGGCGGGTAGCAATAAAACACTTTACTAGGGACCAAGGAACTAGGGAAAGTGATAAACTTAAATAAAAAGGATTAATACTGTTATTAGCACACAATTAAATATTCTGTATTAATGTAACAATAAAATCAAATGAATATCATTAAGTCAATATAGATGTAATACAATTTGCCTTTTTGGGACAATGATAACAAAATTCTTTCAAATTAAAAATCAACAATAAATTAATCTGAAATAATATGAACTCTATGATTGATAACTTCTTATAGTGTGTTTAGTTAGTAAGGAAACAGGTAAGTTGTTATAAACAATAGTAACCCGTTTCCATACTTACTGTATACCTATATAAACAGTTTGGCTAAAAACTTACTAATTTAGTAACTACTACCTATAGGTTTAACAAACAACAATCATAATAATAATAACATAAATAATGTATCTTAGCTATTGAAATAAAAAATTTTGAACTTTAACAGGGGCGTTATTTCTAATTATGATTGACTAGGCAAACTTTTGACCATCATTATATATAACCAATTGACCACACGCATTTTATCTCTCAAAATTAAACCACTAGTTTTATATACAAAAAATATTTTTAATGTATAGTTTTTAATTTTTTTACAATTTTAACATAAATTAAATGTATTTTTTAACATTTTCACTAGATTATAGGCTTTTGACATATTATTTTATCCGTAACATAAACAAAGAACATTTCACAGTCAAGCTATTGCATCATAAATCATAAAAATTCTTTTTACAAAAATTTAAAATTGTCAATAGTGTCTAAGATAATTAGCGTCTTAACATATTTAAACCACTCAGTATCAAAAATAATTTATACATTATTTTATTAATAAATTACCTTATCGATAATTGAAAATATATGAAAACATAAATTTATTAAATTCTCTATTTATATATGGCATTACCTTTTAATAACTTAAGTTTAATTCGACATGAGTTTTAATTATTGAGCAGTTATTTAAACTACACCTCACAAAATAGCTTTAAAAATGTTTTAGCTATTCATTATTTCATTGTATTAACAAAAATTATTCATTAGACTCAATAAAAGAATAATTATTGTTTATAATGCTTTACACGAAAAATTAATTTTCTGTTATAATCTCTTATATCCTAAATTCGTATCTACTTTTGATTTTCAAATACTAACTCTCATTATCTTAACTCATCAGATTTATTTAATTTAAAAAATATTATCTTGATTTTTATATTATTCGATTTTCAATGAGATATACATATGTATCTTTTTAAAGTTTAGTTGAAATTATAAAAAACTTACGTACTATTAAAAGTCGATAAAATTATCATGTTGTATATCAATAAACACTTCCAGTTCACATTAATATGATAAACTTTATAGCCAATCATCATAAAACAACTAGTATGGAAATTTGAGGGCCGGCCAAAAACGGTCCGCCATATCTTAAAATTAACAGTTATGCCAGAAAACAAATATTTCTCTTATTTTTAAGGGAAATATTTGTTTTGTGCTATTATTATGTTATGATTGGTAGTGCTTATCAATTTACGACCAAATAAAGCTCTTTTAAAAATAAGGACATTTTTTCTTATCTTTCACTAAACTTTAAACAGCTATAATTCATTGAAAATCAAATAATAAACAAATATATTTTAAATAATTTTTTTTCAACTTAATAAATCTATAGATGTAGGAAAAATGGAGGTTGCTATTTGAATTGATAAAGTTGATAAGAGTTTAAGTTATAAGGGATGGTAGCAAAAATTTAACTTTTGTGTTAAGTTGCTCAGCAAAGAATCATTTTTGTTAACAAATTAAAATAATGATGAGGACTAATATTTTGAAGATATTCCGTAAAGTATAGTTAAAGAGTCAAAATTAAGTAGAGTTGAAACGGATAGCTGTAGTATTAAATATTATTTATATAAGACTTCGAAGGATACCGTTAGATGCAACGTTTTTTTTTAAACGTTGTTATTTCAAATAATTTGTATATTTTAACTTTTTTCAACAAAATTCAATTATTTATTCTGAAAAAATATTGGTTTGGCCATACATTTTTACTGAAATTTAAGTATAAAACATCTAATCTACCATAGTATTCCAATTTTAAAAAATTAAAGTAATCAGTTGGTTCTGACTAGAGTTAATTACTTCAATGATTTTTCTAGAGTTACAATTTGTATGTACATAAATTTAAAAAAAAAATAAGAGCATCAATTTAGAACGTAAATAAGTAAATCTTCAGCGACAGTTAAACTACTTATCTCAGAATATCTTTAAATTGAGAATTCTGTCCCTTGAAAAGTTGAAAATGTTCCTTAATGGCTAAATAAAATCTCTACTCCTTAAAAAATGCAATATAACGAGTTAATAAGTCGACTATTTTTTAAAGTTCAGAAGCTGTTTAGTATTAATAAAAAAATCTGGAATAAGTAACCGTTTAGAGACTTAAAATCACAAAAATTCGGTTTGACAATAATAAAGAAAGATTTCAAATTAAATCAGTCATTCTCACGTCTCACGAATATCTTAATTTTGCAATGGAAAATAAAATGAACATATTGAACCCTATTTAATTATTAAGTTTGCGGGGAAACCGTTTGATATTTTAATTATTGACTTTTCGTAAGTCTCCGATTTCTCAGCGTCTCGACCAATTAAATTTGCCCAATTAAAAACCAATCATGAAATTTACTTTAAAACATAAAAAAATACCTGGTATTGGTTTGACGTCATGTACTAAAAATACGTTATTCCATAATAACCTGTATTTGTTTTTGTGCAAAAAATCAATGTTCAGCTTTTGCAAAAATGATGGTTGCTCTACCAGTTGTCAATAATAATACAAACTACCGGCAGCGAGTACACCACATTAGAGCCTCTACTAAGATCAACCGCATCGTATCCAAATAGAAAATCGTGAAGGCAAAAAATACGTGACATTTACGTCTATGTAATTAGAAAATATTCAAACGGTATATAATGATATTGTCTTTGGGTCAAACTCGGCAGCGGTGGCCATATTGCGGTTAGCCGTCACGGAGTATTTATGCTAATTTAACGCACAGCTGACCATCGTCATAACGCTGTATATGTGTACACGCTGTACGTGATGCAACGCAGTGGTAGGCTCGTGCGGTTGTAACGACTATTACAGGTGTATAAGTATTGAACGACGGACGAGTGGTACTGACCTTGAACGAGTTTTGCATGAAATAAGGTAAACCAAAGTCACCATCATAATTGTTGTTGGTTCTGAACGATTATATCACCTTATCACAGGTCACTTGTTTCGCATAAATATTTACTCTCAACACTATGCACAATTATATTCTGTAGCACTAAAATTTAGTTATTCGACACAACTACACATGCGAAACAATAAAACTGTTACTTCCATTAAACCAACCAATACTCACATGTCTCAATAGCATGTGAAATTTATCATAGAAACTCAATTATAAATTTTGCGATAACGTTAAGTTTAATAAGACGTTACATATGTAACTTAAGATTATTTTTCTCAGTTTCATAATTACATAGATTAGAAATCATATTCAGGTGACATTTTTACTCGAAAATTTGTCAAAGTACGGTTGGATTGACTTATCATAAACATGAATATAACTAATATATTGATACATATTCTTATAAGTATTTCAAAAATATTAATTTTCTATTTTTTTTAATTCTATTATTAACTATTTTTATTTTCTATTGGCTGTTGTTTTAAGATTTTAAAATTAGTTAAATTTATAAAAAAATACTTATCATTAAAGCGATTATTTAAAAATCGTAAAAAGCAATTACTATTAAACCTAAAAACTTTTTTTGTAAATCATTTGTATTGTGTGGGTTGTAACTTCATTCTTTGGTGTGTGATCATTATAGATGGCAAGTAGCTACAATTTATTTCTATTTTTTCAAGTTCTACGATAATATTTCATTTATTTAATATACTTTTTTTTAATTAAGCGACTTGCTAAAATATCGAACGAATTTCCGAGTTAATTGAAGCTGTTAATAAGATTTTAAGATTTTTAACAAGAGCATTTGGGATAATGAAAACGAATGTAAAGCTTAATTACTCAACAAACGAGAAAATCTTAAATTTTGTAATTGAGGGTATTATTTTACTACATTATTATTTTAATGAATTTCAACAAAGTCAAATAATGGATTGTAATGGAATATTAAAGGCAATATTGGACCTAAAAGGGTTAACATGATAGAGGGAAAAATATTTTTCAAGTAATAAGTTCGATATCTTGAATAATTTAATAGTTTTTTACTCTGTTCTTAGAAATCACATAAGACAGAATTTAAAAAAAGAAACCCAGCACAGGGGGGTTGCGGCACAGTGGTGCCGTGGTATAGTTGGATCAAGTATAATGATATCTGACAGTGATTAAAATCACTATCAAAAATAAACGCTTCGATGCAAATCTTTAGATTGTGTTTAATTTTAAAAAAATTGGTGTATTATTCCAAAAGCTACATGATCTGCTAGTTCCTTATTAATATCTTGATTAAGATAAAGCATGTTTTACGGGGAACGAGGGAATTTTTTTCAATTTTTAAGGGTAATGTCTTTGACTAGATACGATTTGTGATCTTTTGACGTATCGTTGAAAGAAATCCGTTCGATGAGAGCTGAGAAAAAGTGGTAACAGACGCAAAAAAAAAACACATCATAGTAAAACCAATACCTTCTCAGCTTCGCATCGAAGCTAAAAAATGTATACTTCATATAAAAATATTACATATTATGTTAAGGACTAATCACCCGTCTGGAAATATGTAAAATCAGGTAACTTAATTGGCCATAAAATCGTTTAAATATATATACTACGATCTAATGTATAATATAAAATATAATATATAATAACTGAATTTTTTTATTGTGACATATAGAATATCACAATAAAAAAAACTTATATTCTTAAAGTTTTTTAATGTTCATGATGAATATTTCGCCAAAAAGAGTATTATCATTGCTATGTTGTGTGATTTTTATAATATAAATATTTTAATTTATACAAAAGTTAAATGATTTTTTAGATATAAATATAAAATAAAGGAAATAATGTATATAGTATCTCAGCAAGTTTTGATATCTTAAATAATTTTTCATCCAACGAATATTTTGCGTTACTTTTTTTTTTAATAATTTTACACTTTTAGACTACGTTTAATAGATAATTTTTTAATTTATCTCTAATAAAAAAAAAATATTATTTTTAATTTTTTTGAAATTTTAAAATAGCTTTAACCTTGTTCTTATAAAAAAATTGTATGGGTCGACAACAACTTTAAAATAATTACTTATTGAGTTACAAGCATTTTAATAAATTGTTTGGGGGGTTTGTAGCGCGGCTGGGTACAGTTCGTACGGTTGTATATTTATAATGTATACTCCGCTCATGTAACTTAATAAATACATATTCTAAAATTGTATCGACCTATATATATTTTTTGTAAGAACAGAATCGAAAAATAATTATTTCAAAATATTAAAAAAATTAGAAAATAGTATTTTTTTTTTTTTTATTAAAAATAAATAATAATTAAAATTATGTTTTAAATGTAGTAGTAGAAGAATAATAAAATAATAAAAGTATGCTTTTACTTTAGTCCAAAACTAAAAATTATTTTTAAAAAAAGTAATGCAAAACATTTGCCGAATCAAAAGTTATTAAAGATATGTGAACAGGTTCAGAAACCAGTATATATAGAGTGTTCAGTAAGTAAGGAAACGTGATTCTATTGTTCTCATTGATTGTAGCAATTGACCTGTTTCCTTACATATTAAACACCCTATAGATAATTATATACATATAGTTAATAATAATAGTATGTATCTTTAAAAAAATAATAACATATTATTTTCAAGATTCTTCAAATTTATCACATAATTTTTATTAGAAAAAATTTATTAAACATCTCATTTAACACTTAAATAAAGTGCCCCAGGATTTTTTTTATATATTTAAAAAAAAATGTAATACACGATTGTACAATTTAACTAAGCAAAAAATTAAGAGCGGAAATTGCCTTTCTTTGCCTGCTGTGGACGCCCATGTATATAGCTGTAAGTAAATCATAGCCGAATTTTGCTGAACTTATGACAGAACTGTATCAAACAACGCTACACGATTGATACAAACGATACACAAGTACAGAAGAACTGAATAGCTTCATTACCGACTATTAATACTTCAAAATTTTATTTTTTGAAAAGTAAAGATAAAACAATAAGTTAATAGAAACATTTATAATGAATAACAAGTGTCAGAAGAATTTTTAATAACGACTGTCTTTGAAAGTGGCGGAAATCACGACACGCTAAAAAACGTTTCGAATCATTAAGAAATCAGTCATTAGCCGTCGGAAATGATCAACCTTTTGTACTCAATACAAGCATGACATCCGACTCTGAAAAGTGAAAATAAAAATAAAGTGTTAAATTTTATTAAAAATTTATTTTATGCACATATACTTTTGCTTTATAAAAATGTTAAATATTTTGTAGGTGATAAGTATTTCTTATAAATTTGTTTTATATATTACAATGCTACGCAATTATAACTCAAATAAAATGAAAATCAATCAAAAAACTTGATTAACTCTCTTTTGGAAAATTTAATTATAATATTTATTTTTCCCAGATTATAATAAAACTATAAATACAATTTTAAGACTATATATTTGATACGTAACTCACCTACTTATATGTATGCGTATACACAAATGTGTATTATAATATTAATATTCCGAGTAATTGGAAATACAAAGGTACATTTTCATATTTTATTCGAAAAATCACAAAGAAAAATAAATGGTCAGTTATTACACGTCTTATATCTTTATAGTAGTTCGTATTATAATATAAACAGGCATTCTTGGAATTAGAATTTGGTGAACTCAATTCATGGAGTCTAAACGAGTAGGTCTCTTGGGTATAAGTCCAACGAACAGGGGCGTACTTACATATTTTTTCGCATGTGGCCACTTTGAGAATTACTGCCCTTCATATGAAAACCCACATTAAATGTTTTTGCGTTATGATCACAAAATAATCGAATTTAAACAAATTATTTCCATCATATATATTTTCATTAAATAATCAAAAATAATACTAGGGGCTTATAAAAATAGTTGAAATATAATATTCAACAAAATACTATAAATAATAAAACATTTAAGTAATAAACAATTATATTTACTAATTAGAGAATTGATTTACGTCGTCATTTGTTCCTCACAAATGAGTCAATTAAATCTTCATAATTTAATTCATTAACATGACATTCTTCATTGAGAGCACTGCTAGATTGTTTAACCATCACTACGCCACTAATAAATCTTGTATAAATTTTTACGCGTTTGAGGCATGAAAACGATATCTCTGTAGTACAATTAGACACTTGTACTGACACAAAAATTCTTCGTACTATGACTATCATAGGCGGAAGTTTGGCAACATTTTAGAGGGGCAAGAGTTACCTACAGGAGCCACTCGCGAATACATTCTACCTTTCATGATGCTTATCCGATTTATATATTATTAAAAGGATGACTAGTGGTATTAAAAAGGTCGTCCCGTGATAGGCTGTGGGAGGTGTCACACCCCTTACTTGGCAAAATTTTATCATTTTAGTGGGTAATTATTCACCCCACATTTTTGGCCTCAGGACAGCTCTAAGTATTTAGTTATGTAGACGTTGTTAATAACTATAAAATATGCCTAGATTTTATTACCAACTATAAAAGTAATTTTAATTTTAAGTTAAAAATAGTTTTTTATCAGTTGTCAATCAATATATATCATCTAACAACCGTTTGACTAGTTCACATGGTACACAAGTGGGTGGTTAACAATAAGATACTTTGGTGACAATGAGAAAAACATAAAACCAACCGCAATTAACTATAAATATC